ATATTGGAGAATGGGAGCATGGAGTAAAACGTGGGAGGATGACGTAGAATCGACCGAATGAAGCGGTAGAAGTTCCAGAATCATTGTAGGCTGTGAATTGTGACGGAAATAACTCCAATAAATGGCCTTGTGGGGAAATGAGGGACTGGATGGAAGAGTGCGATTTAGAGTATAGGGTAACTTGGGGGAATATGGCCTCTTGTGACCCATGTGAAGAGGTCCCAAATACTCTTTTCCCATTTACTTTTCTGCACGGATCTTGTTGGGAATGAATAAAGGAGACATCAATCAATATTTTCTGAATATTGGCAAAGTTTCATTTCACCTAGACGTGACGCTATAACCTGATTTCATTTTTGGTGTCCATATTCCCCCAAGTTACCCTAATCAATTTTGTTCCGTGCAATAACTTTCTCCATTTATGAAAATTCAATGAAGGTTCTGTTTGAACGCTCGATATTGCCAAAAGCCCGGCGTCTTGAGTTAGAAGGCTGAAACGTCGGAAGCGAGTTCGTATCGAAGATATGATTTTCCATCGTGGTTCTCCAGTCTTCGACAAACGGTAGGACGCAATAAGATGCATGCTGATCTTCAATTACGAGGGTGGAACTGGGAGACCCGCGGAGCTAAGAAGCACGCGATGCTTGCAGCTCTGACGGCGCATGCACTGAGGGGCGCACTGCGAAATCCCCCTCTTTTGGAGGACCCCGCGCAGTTCCCCACCTGTGAACGCGCCCCCAACACCCCACTCCACGTCTTCGGTGAAGACTTGCCGTGAGCGATGACATCAGCGAGCGCGTCCTCATCTCCGGCGCGAGCAGGGCCTGTGCACCCCCGTCAGAGTGGTCGCCTGTGGCAAGACGTGGTCAAGGCCTGCGACAAGACCCGCGACAGGACCCGAGGTCTTCTTAAGAAATTCCGAAATTCCGAGCACAGCATCACCGTGGATCACGTCAGCCCAAGGAGATCCATCAGTGTGGATCTGGAATCCTCCTGTCCAAATGATTCCTGGAGTGTTCACGTCTGGTGTGAGTATCGATATTATCCTGATGATTCTCAGTTTCCGCGTACATTGCCATCTTTGATTTCTCCGACATTTGGTTTTGGTTCATTTTCCCCTCCCGACTTCAGGCCAGCCTATAGGCCCTATACCAGTTGAGGTACTCATTTAACCGCAGTTTCAGCGTCCAGAACTCGAATTATTCTTATTTTCAAACATGCTGCGCATCTCCTGGCAATGTCTTGACCGCCTGCGCTCTAAAATTCGGGAATCTCAGGTCTTCAAGAATGGAAGACCGAGCAAACGCCTTCTGGAATCTCTCAATGACGTGAATGGCTTTCTGTAGGCTTAACAAATCATTCATGAAGGATTATCACGCTTGAAGGAATGCTTACTCTACCGGAATTGAAATGGGACAGGTAAAAGAATGAACAAGAAGAAACAAATAGCTATTTAATGCAGACACCCCTTCAGAGATCAATCGTTTTCCAGTAGAAAGAAAGACAGCGTGAAGATAAGGCCGTGGATAATACAGACATCCATCAGAATTTTCATATGACAAGAGCCTCGGCGCGATAGAGGAAGTGAATCGATTTCTCTCTTCCATATTTCAGACCTCTCTTTTATATAGAGGTTCTCCTTTCCCGAGTTGGCGTGATTGCCTCTCCAGGCAAAACTTGATGGGGCTTGTTTGCCCCACCCCATAATTGGAAGGAGAACTTGTCTCCGCCTTCATCGGGGGGGATTCGACCTCGAAGTTTTCCGTCACGAGATGAGGAGACTCGAGGAGATTTCTGCATTTGCCGAGATCGTAATTTCATATTCAATGTGGGTTCATGAGCCTCCTTTGAAGACCTTTTTCTTCCGACCGTTTGACCTTTTCCTCGAGCATTCCTCGGGGATTTTCCTACCCGTTTACACATCGGAGGCTGGTGTTTTAAATAATTGATGCTGTCAGAAAGTCCTTTATGCGTCTGGAATCCAATCAGACCTGAAGCCAGCAGCTGCTCGGTGATAATAGATCACTCGAAAATGGAGTCATGGACAATGCAAGGAAGACTAAAGGGGAAATGGTCCCTTTATCCCATTCACAAAAGGGGTTATTCACAGGGACGATTTCTCACTTCTTTCGGTTCGAAGTGGAGAGTGAGTTGAGACCCTCCAACTTCATCAAAAGAGCTTGACTGGAGTACATCAATTTTTTTTACGTCTTCTCGTTCGAATCCACTCGAAGTATTGTGCTCTCAGAAAGTTCGCATCTGGTGGATTTAAAGTAGAAGCCACGTTGAATTGTTCGTGCATTTTTGGATTCGTACCGGCATTTGGAGTCCAGACATGACTGTCAGCATTGCATTCAGACAGTGGCGTGACTTCCGCTCGTAAATCATCGGAACGACAGCTTAAAAGGTTCAAAACAACAGCGGTCATCGTTGGACATTCATGAGCATATTATGAGGCATGACGTAAGACACACACAGAGAGAGAGAGAGAGAGAACAGAGGTCACCTGAGTGGGTTTGGGTCGGGTTGTTGGGTCGATGGTTCTTGTTCCGTCATGACGGATGAGAGTGATATGAATGGCCCCATGGTGCTATGTCGGCCTCGCGAATGTATCCTGCGCGCTCCTTTTGCGGGGACAGCCGCAATGATATGATTTACAGATGTGCGGAAGCATCTATCGATTCCACTGATCAAAATACGATAGTATAAATTTTGATCGATTAGGTTGGTTTCTGTCCAGAAATCGTATATTATGACTTCCCAGAGGATTCTCGATGGGCATACTGAGGCCAATTACGTTGGAGGAATTTTGGACAATGTCACCGTTAACGTCTTTGTGTCGACCGCCTCATTCGTTCTATTGGTTTAATCAAAAGGTTAGAGGTTAACCTATCGGGAGAAAATCTGGGTATGGGATTGCGAAGAGTGGCTTTTCTTTCCGAAGCCTAATTCCCCATGCAGTTACGAAGTCGCGCCCTAACGAGAATTGGGAGAAGGAGAAGCTGTGATTCCTTTCATCAATGGTTATCGGTCGGGTATTCGATGATTAAATTCGCTGCGGGGACGTAGTCGACGCTTTCAGAAGGAATATTAGAAATTCGTTCGACGAAAGATTCGTATGTCGTATCTTTCATTGCGCAATATTGACGGAGAAATTCATTAAAAAATTTTGAAATCAGAGAACTTCAAATAAAAGAGTTTCTCTCGAAAGAAAGTTTATTTGAAGCATCACAAAAGTACATTTAAAATGATAACAGCGTCCTGCACGTGACAGTGTTGTTGCTACCCGATCTCATTCCGTGCCCGAACAAAGGGGAATCGGCAGATATACCGAGCAATGGAGAACTTAGTTGGGAGGGGGTGGGAAACCAATCCTCAATGAAAAGAATAGGAAGCATGGGAAGAACGGAGGGGGGGAAATGAATATTTAATAAAACCCTGTGCCTTAGGAAGTTTGTTCCCTATTTCCCGGCTCAAGGTCTCATGTGGAGGGGCCTACATATATAAGACTCTACCTGTCTTGAGGTGACAGTGGAAGCCCTTGGGATCGATTCCCGTACGAGCACCTGAGGAAGATCCTGGGTTTTCCGCTGGGCTTTCCCGGGCCGCTCCAACGATCGTTCTGAACTTTCAGCTTAGCCCTTTGAGGAATAAGTCCGTATATTTACAAGTTGACGTTATCCTGCCCTCCATATATTCATTACGGAGGATCTTGCAGGCTTAAAAAAAAAAACTCAACCCTCAAAGGGGAGAAGACCTTGTGTGTGTGTGTGTGTGTGGAGGGGGGGGGGGGGTAGGATTTGAGTTGAAGAGGGAGTTAAAGTATACCTGACGATATTTAACACTGAGCCTCGGCAATTTGAATGCGCTATGGGCATAGGACGTCATATGTCGGCTGCAGGGCTCAAAGTGTTAACAACTTCTGAACTTTCTGAAGTTAAGGAAGCAAGACTTTGACGGAGAGTAATGTGAATTCTTTTTTTTTTCAATTTTTTCCCTCTCCATCCTCAGATACAAAACCCAAGACGCCGACTGGGAGGAAAACACAATAGGCAGGACTGCAAAAGTTTGGGCAGGACACTTTCTCTTCTAATGAAGACGCCTTGGCAAAACTTTCGGTCTCTGGTCATTTTTGGATTCCTGTGCCAAATCACCACGAGAACTGTAAACAAACGCAAGGGTGAGGGCGGAAAGATATGTACAATGGTACAATGGATAGTCTGTTCTAGCGAATGGATGGAAAACAATGGCCCCTAACAGTTTCTCACCCGGGGTTCCTAATGAGGAGCGTGAAACGTCACAGGCTCTAAAAGCAAACAGACATTAGGTTAAGACGAGCATAATCGTCCGTGAGCATGCTAAGGGGGAAAAAAAAAATGAAATAAATGAAAAATATTGATGGACCAGGGTGACATGTGTAGGGTGACATGTGTGACCAGGGTGACATGTGGAGCGGGATGTGTAATCCATATTTTACGCATCCAAAAGCCTTACAAAAAAAAATTAAACAAGAATGCAATTAGCAACAGTGGTTGTCATACGATATGTCTTTGTCATTGAGAGGTCGGATTTTCGTCTCGATATTGGTGTCACCTGATCTGACGACTTCGCAAGAAATCACGAAATGCCCAAGGGAAGACTCTCCTTTCAGCCGAATCGATTAATGCAGGTGCCTCGCGTCGATCTCCTTTTCCTTGGCACGAGGCGAAATTGCTCCATTCATCAAAACTGCTAACAGGCGTTGATGAGAACGCAACGATGATCGAGTGACCTCCGCCGGGAAATTAGGTCGGCACTTCTGACAGATTGTTCGCTCGACCTCGAACCTCCTTCTATATACATATGTCAAGCTTTGAAGGTGTATATAATGCACATAACAGAGAATGGATCCCCGAGGAAAGAGGGCTTGGATGCATAATGAGAAGAGATGCCATCATGGAAATGGGGAATGATTCTGTATGCATATACATGGGTCTATATAAGCCTTTGTCACGTTTGCATCGACCCTCAAGCCCATTATTCATTCCATCTCTGGAAGAACCCCTTCAGGTATGAAATGCTAGTAGATCGATGTAGCATGAGAGAAAAAAAGCCGATCGGAAAAGGACCACGCGCTTCTGTGTGAGTTTAACCTCGAGAGTTCCGTCAAAACCGTAGCTTTTAATCTACAGGGCTCAGAAGGGCGCAAGACTCAGAAAATGTTATTACTGTGACAGATGATGAATTTCTGGGCTTTGCCGGATCCTTCCTTGAAGTCGGCTGGGTTTTAATATTCACTTCTCCTCAAGTCCACAAGCGATTAAACCCCTCTCGTGCAGCTACTGCGAGGGAATTTCGCGTGGAAAGGGAGAATCGTCGTCTGGTGTTTTTCCGAGAAAGTCTCCGTAACACAAGGCCTCTTGGGAAAGCGGGGATTAATCAGCTCCTTTCCTTCTGCTGCTTATATGAAGGAGCGAGAAAAGGAAAGAGAGAGTCCTGATGAGGAACAGTTTTTGTTACGAGATTTGCCAGAGACGTGGGGCCAGCCTGTATCGGCATCCTGGCCATTGGTCTTTACTGGTCCCCTTAATTGGTTTCGTAGCGTTCCTGGCGACTCTTCGATTCCTGTGTCGAATAAGAATTTATTGTTTTCACAAATTTAGAGCCATCTGGCGAGATTTAATTCAATTTAATTTCAGCACGTTGGCGAATTTTATCGATCGCAATCGGTCTCATAGATTTTCGCTCCCACTCCCTATTGTCCCTTTACAACGAGAAAGAAAAAGGAGAACGAGATGAAGAACCTTTTGAGAAAGGGAAGATATGAAGGATAAAGCAGCGGCCCAGATGTGGATTGAACCGTCTATCTCGAATCGTCCATAGCCATCCATTCCTGACACGTGGTTCCATCCATCCCATCCGTTCCAATATGCGATTGATTGAAGGGTTCGAGCATCCCATATCCCATTACCGAACCGATGGTCCTGATTGCACTCGGTAAAACTCGACGAAACGAACAAATATGACTGTGTCTCATGTCACTATTACA